AGAATATCATTCCAAACAAAGCCTTAAGTTCTTAAAAGCGACGAATAAATAGTGGCCAAAATTATGATTAAAGAACACAACTCTCCTTGGCCTATTGGTTGAGAGCTTAGGCTTCCAACTAAGAGGTCCAAGATTCGAGTCTATGTGTATGCGTTGTGTGTATGAGTTTGTCTTAAATGACCTAAATGTCCCAAAAAAAAAACAATCAAACGCTTAACACACAGGGCGCCTATTCTATGAGATTCCACAACATAAAAAGTATTATTATTATTATTATTTGTAGCCTTACACCGTAATAAATAAATAAAATTTCAATTTTTTCACAATATAAAAAATACTATAAATTCAATACATTTAAGATTTGTTTGATACGGTTGCAATTTTCTATAAAAGTGATTAAAAAATTATTGTTAGAAAAATAAATATTTCAAAAGCTACAAAAATTTCTTAAAAATAATTTAAAAGGAATAGAAATTGTGATTGTAATTTGAAAAAAAATAATAATAAGAAAGTTGTTTCAGATAGACCCTTCAGGCTTCTCGTTTAGGACGGCTTTCTAATTAATTCTTAAAGTAACTTTCTCGTATAAAAATTATAAGTTTTACACTAAAAAAATGTTTTAAGTAGTAAAATACCTTAGTGTTAAAGATATTTAAGAATACGAAAGATGAATATTTTGCAACAATATAATGAAATCAAAGCTCGCCTAATAAATTTCCATTTCACGTGGACAAAAAACGTAGTTGCCGACTCTGTAATCACTATATCACCTATTAGAATACATAAATCCCCTTAAATTATTTTATAGTTGTACATAAATATTTATTTTGAAAATTTAAGAATGTAAAAGGTCAAAGGTCAACCTTTCAACAACTGTTGGGTTCTTCCTCCTCCAGGCCATCCTACATACAGTTCGGTCTCTACATCCATGCCCTTGTTGTCGCATTGGGGACCCACTTCCTTCGAAGTATTTAGGCACAGCAGAGGCTCCTTCCACTTCAAACAAACAGAATGGAACTATCAGCAGATTCTCTAAGATCGCATAGGCTTCGTTTGGCACAGTTTTTTTACTGCTTATTAAAGCAGTTTTTTAGTACAAAAATCAACTCTGTGCTAAAAAGTTGCTTTAAAAAACAGTAAAAAAATCGTCTCAAACAAAGCCATGATCCTAAGGAGCTGGTTTCAGTATCTGCGTTTTGAAAAGCACAGATTCTAATTAGATGTTGAGGTAACTATAACTCACCAATAATGAGGTTGTGTGACCTTCCTGCTTTTGCAGCAAAGCGTTCTCTTCTAGTAGGACCCTCTCCTGCATGCAGAAAACAAAAATGGGTATGTAAATTTGCATTAAAAGAAGATGCAGAGTCTCCATTTGAATGGTGTGAAGTGCATTGTCCAAGCTTTTGCCTAGTATGACAGAATATGTTGTTAAGAGTCATCAGCCTCCTCTCCTTCTTCACCTCACTAGATTTCTATGCTAGTTCTTGTAAAAGATTGTTGTAGCATGCTTTGTGAAAGAACAAAATATAAAACAGGAACGCTTATTTTCTTAAAAAATGAGAGAAAATTTCAGCAATCACACGCACTATTTTAAAACATTTTCAAGCTTTAATATAGCCCGTCATTCTTAGAGTTATATCATTTCAAAATGAGATTACAATCACACAAAATTAAAAAAAAAAAACATTAAATAAAACTGAAATATTAAATTCCTCTTGATAGTTATCCACATATGCACCATTAACTTCCACTTGATAGTTATCCACGTATCCACCATTAACTTCTACTTGATAATTATCCATATATCAAATAATATGGGTAACTAATTTGATATGTGGATAATTATCAAGTTGAAGTTAATGTTGGATATGTGGATAACTATCAAGTGGAAGTTAATGATGAATATGTGGATAACTATCAAGAGGAATTTAATATTTCAATTTTATTTACTGTTTTTTTTTTTATTTTGTGTGATTGTAATCTCATTTTGAAAGGATGTAACTCTAGAAATGGTGGGCTATATTAAAGCCTAAAAGTTTTTTGAAGTAGTGTGTGTGATTGTTGAAATCTTCTCTCATTTTTTAGGAAATTAGTGTTCCTATTTTATTTTGTGTTCTTTCACAAATTGGTATCAGAGCCATGACAAATCTTGGAAGTTTATCGATCGAGTAGATACCGCTACCACGACTCACAAATATAAACTATGACAACTGGAGTATTCAAATACGGGCATTGTTGGGCGCAGAAGATGTATGGGAAGTCGTTGAGAACGACTTCATCGAAATGACAATTAATACGGCGGGCATGACGACAGACCAACTAAAGGCATTAAGAGAGACACGAGCGAAGGATAAAACTGCTCTCTACTTGCTATATCAAGCAATAGACGAGTTGGGCTTTGAGAAGATTGTTGGAGCGACAACTTTAAAAGAAGCATGGAACATTTTAGAGAGAGTGTTCAGAGTAGCAGATTGTGTCAAGCAAGTATGCCTCCAAACTTTGAGAGGTGAATTGGAATGGATGAAAATGAAAGAGTTAGAAGGTATATCTGACTACATCATGCGTGTGCAAATTGTAGTAAATCAACTCAAGCAAAATGGTGAGACGTTGAACGATGCTCGAGTAGTGGAGAAGATATTGCGGTCATTAATCAATGACTTTGATAATGTTGTGTGCGTGATTGAAGAGTCAAAGGATCTCGGCACACTAACTATTGATGAGCTTGCTGGTTCTCTCAAGGCACATGAGCAACGAAAGAAGGTGGAGGAATCGTTCGAAGAAGTTCTTCAATCCAATACAACAATTAAAGATGATAAGGTACTATATTCTCAATTTTTTTGTGGAAAAGGACTTGGAAGAATAGGTTGCGGATATGAACGCGGTGGAAGAGGTCGTGGTCATAGAAGATAGTATAAGCAGTCAAATCAACAAAATTGGCGAGGTAGAGGACGAGGTCGTGGAAGAGGCGGCCGACTAAACCACTTGAATGTAGAATGTTATAAATGTGGGAAAAATGGTCACTATGCGAAGAACTACAACTACGACAAGTGCTACAATTGTGAAAAAATTGGACATTACGCAAGAGATTGCTATGGAGAGAAGAAAATTGAAGAAAACACTAATCTTGTCATAGAAGAAGAAACAAAAGATGAACTTGTCATGATAACTCAGGAAGAAAATAACACCAGTGGCGAGACGAGTTAGTATCTTGACACCGGTGCTAGCAATCATATGTGCGAGTATAAACATTTGTTCACAGAAATGCGGGTTGTTGAAGGTGGGCATGTGTCATTTAGAGATGCGTCAAAGATCCAAGTGAAAGGTCAAGGTGCAATCTCTTACTTGTAAAAAGATGGCATGAAAGGGTTAATTGAAAATGTGTATTATGTACTTGATCTTAAAAGTAACATACAGAGTATATAGAAAGGATACTCTGTGTTTATGAAAAAGCGAGTATTACAACTATTAAACAAGAAGGGGAGGCTAGTTACACAAATTATGATGACAAAAAAGAGAATGTATAAGGTTAACCTGAGTTATGCACAAGAAAGATGCTTGTAAGTTGATGTAGAAGATAAGGCGTCTCTATGGCATCTGCGATTCGGCCATTTACACTATGGAGGTCTACAAAAATTGTTAAAGAAGAAGATGGTGTATGGACTACCAGAGATAGACTACACTGACAAGATTTGTGAGGAGTGTGTACTTGGGAAACATGCGAGGAATTCATTTCAGAAGAAGGCGGAATATCGAGCATTAAATATTCTCGAATTAGTACACACCGATATTTGTGGGTCAATCACTCTCGAATCTTTTAGCGGTAGAAGGTACTTTATTACTTTTATCGACGACTATTACAGAAAATTTTGGGCTTATTTTTTGAAGGAAAACTCAAAGGCATTCAATGTCTTTAAGAAGTTCAAAGTCATGTTGGAAAAGACTACAGACAAGTTCATTAGAGCATTGCGCTCCAGTAGAGGTGGTAAATACAACTCAGCGGATTTTGCAAGTTACTGCGAGCAACAAGGAGTAAGAAGGTTCTTAACTGCACCATCTTCCCGCCAACAAAATGGTATGGTAGGGAGGAAGAATCAAATGATTCTTGAAATGGTTCGATCAATGTTGAAGAGTAAGAAGATGCCCAAATATTTTGACAGAGGCAGTGCAATGCTCTATTTACATACAAAACAGATGTGCACATGCGAAGTTAGAAGATAAAACTCCACAAGAGGCATGGAGTGGTCATAAACCGACAGTCTCGCATTTCAAAATATTCAGTAGTATGGCCTATGCACACGTGCCAGATCAACAAAGAACAAAGCTAAAAGACAAGAGCAAGAAGGTTGTGTTTAGTGGGTATGACGAGAAAACTAAAGGCTACAAACTATTCAACCCAATAAACAAAAATTAATGGTGAGTCGAAATGTTCAAGTGAATGAAGCAAGCAAGTGGGATTGGAATAATTCGTTGGAAGAGAAAATGGAAAGTGGAAAAGTGTCAACCATTTCAACAAAAAATCTTCCAACATGTTCTCAGGTAACTAGAAATCCTCAAACATCTGATAATGAGCAAGAACTATGACAACCAAAAATGTGAGTCTACAAGATCTATATGACTCGACAAGCAAGGCACGCCTCGTCTGTCTTCTCACAGATAGCGAGAATTTAAGTTTTGACAAAGCAGTGAAAAATGAAATATGGCAAGCAGCTATAGATGAGGAAATCAAGTCAATCAAACGAAACAAGACATGGGAGTTCGCAGACCTACCGAAAAGAAGACGACCTGTTGGAGTAAAGTGGGCGTTCAAGAAGAAAATGAATGTTCAAGGCGAGATAGACTGATATAAGGCACAACTTGTAGCAAACGGCTACATATAGAAGACGGTGATAGACTATATATGATGAGGTTTTTGCCCAAGTTACAAGAATGGAGACAATTTGACTTCTCATCTCCCACACAACACAGTTTGAATGGCCAATATATCAAATGGATGTGAAGTCTGCATTTTTTAATGGAGTATTATAAGAGAAAATTTATCTTGAACAACCACCTGGTTATAAGAAAGTCGGAGAGGAAAAAAAGGTGTTGAAATTAAAAAAGGCGCTTTATGGATTAAAAAAGATCTCGAGCTTGGAATACTCATATCGACATGTATTTCAAGAAGAATAGGTTCATTGAATGCTCATATGAGCATGCACTTTATGTGAATAAGAAAGGAGATAACTTGTAAATTTTCACTCTTTATGTTGATGATCTTATTTTCATGGGGAATAATGGTGAGATGATTAAAAAATTTAAAGGTGAGATGGAATGAGAATTCAAGATGACAGATTTGGGCTTGATGAAGTATTTTCTTGGATTGAAAGTTAGACAAAGAAAGTCAGGAAAATTTGTGTCATAATAATCATACTCAAAATACATCCTAAAGAAGAACACAATGGAAATAGTAATTCAGTAACAACATCGATAGAACCAGCTGGTGCTAAGCTCTCAAGATTTGATGGTGGAGATCAAGTCGATGCAACAAAATATCCATGTTTAGTGGGAAGTCTACGTTATCTCACATGCACAAGGCCATACATATCCTACAGCGTTGGAGTGGTAAGTCGGTTTATAGAAGAGCTGATCTACACGCACTATAAGGCACTAAAGAGAATTTTGCAATATATCCGAGGAACATAATCACTCGGGTTATTTTATTCGAAGGAAGAGAAATATAGATTGATGGATTACTCAGACGGTGATTGTTACGGAGACATAGATGATCCAAAGAGTATATCGGGGTATGTGTCTTTTATGGGAGAAACAGCACTTACATGGCTATCAAAAAAACAACCGATCGTGACACTTTTGACATGTGAAGCGGAATACGTGGCAGCATCATTGTGTGTGTGTCACGTAGTTTGGCTAAGGAATCTCCTCCATGAATTGAATCTCCAAAAGAGGCTACCGAGATTTGTATTGATAACAAATCTGCAATCGAGTTAACAAAGAATCTAGTACATCATGAAGGAAGCAAACATATCGATGTCAAGTTTCACTTCATCCGAGAACACGTGAAAGAATAAAGCATAAGAATGAGTCAGGTTGCGAGTCATGATCAAGTAGCGGTTATATTTACAAAGCCGTTACCCAAAATATTGTTCGAAAAATGCAAAATGGAAATCGGCATGAAGGATGGAAGGGACTCTGAGTTTAAGGGAGAAATTACAATAAATAAAACTGAAATATTAAATTCCACTTGATAGTTATCCACATATTCACCATTAACTTCCACTTGATAGTTATCCACATAACCACCATTAACTTCCACTTGATAATTATCCACATATCAAATTAGTTATCCATATTATCTAATTTATTTGAGTTTGTCAACATGCTTCATATAACTGCTCTCACATGCTTTTGTGAATTACGCATAGTTTGTTTTTTATAGGGTAAGTAGACAGCGGGATATAGACTTGGACTAAACTATGGATGGTTCGGCATTTTTTGTATGTTTTATTATATATAATTAGAAAATATATCTACTTTAAAGAAACAGTAGTGTTGCATCGAGCAATAATATTAATAGCTCTGAAGAGAGTTCAGGAGATACCCTTTCTTTAAGTTGTACTACCTGCTCTTCCAGCAAATGATTCTGCAAGAAAATAAAACAAAATAAAATAAGAATTAAGATGTCATAATAGAATGCTTCGTAAGTGGCAGAAAACATTATGGAAGATATTGACAACAGATCAACCTTTCGTCCTCTAACTTTGCTTATGCTTTGCTCGAGCTGAATCTCTAATTCATGTAGCTCCTCGGTAGAGCAGGATTCAAGGTTTTCACCCATTAGCTTCCTGCAGGATTACAGTGGCTTTTAGTTTCGGCCAATTCTAGCTCCAGGAAAGATGCATAAATTGTGCTTATTTTCATTGAATAGCTAGAGCCTCACCGTTTAGAATCTTCAAGGGCGTCAATCTTCTTTGACATGAGGTCTGTATCCTTCTTCCATTGCTGCATTTCAGAGTATCATATCAACATGATCAAAGGATATCTCTGCCTATATATAGTATAAAACATAAATCTCATAATTTTCACAATATTTCTTGCATTGCGATGAATTATGTGTGAAACAGGTTGTGAGTTGGATATCTTGGAGAATTTATTCACAGAATAGAAACTTATTGTTGTTACAGGAAACAATATTACTTTCATGTCATTGTTAGTAAGGATCAGAAATAAAAAGAAGCGGCAACAAAAGAAGAAAGGATGTCATAAGCACTTTATTCTCTTTGAAAAACACCAGATAAAGGAGTTTACACCGAGAATTCCTAAATAAATGAAGTAATATTGCTACGTACCATTTAATCACGAGCAGTACAACGTAAGAGAAGATAATTTGGATAGATTTTAATACCTTAATTATCCAAAGAATCTAATATATAGGTAAAGCCAGGAAGGTAACGATAAATAAATGAATAAGAAAAGGAAATGAATAAATGCTTCAAGAGGAGACAAGATAAAAGAAGAGCCTCACGGCTAAGAACTCCAGAGAGGAATCAATCCCCTCATAAAAGCCAAAAGAAAGTTGTTTCTTTTAAAGGCCCAAAAAAACTTGTCAATCATCAAAATTAAAGAGAAACAATCATTCGTGCTTGAAGGAAAATATAAGCATAGGTCAATACTCGGGAAACATAGAACAAAAGAAAGGAATATATTTACCTCAATATTTTGTTCTGTTGATTTGCTATTAATGATCATCTCTTTGTTATTCATCTTGTAACGCTCGATAGTCTTCAGCATGCTAAGTGCCCCAGAAAATTTAAAAAAAAAAAAAAGAGGAAGAAGAAGAAGAACAAAGCAAATCAGTCCACGACTTCGCTGAGGAAAAAAAACAAAGAAAATCAGCTTTCTTGGTAAATATTTTCTTCTATCTGCTTTCATCTAAGCAAAAACACTGCTGCAAAACATGTGCATGGTTATGGACCTGTTTCATAAATCATTTTTTCTGACTATAAAACCTTAACCTCTTTTATGAAAAGGAAATGGTCGTGCAGCCGAGCCCTGAGGTTTTACTCAATTATAATTTCCATAAACTGAACATGCTAACAGTTTGATTATTCAGGGGTAAATCTAATCTAATAAGTAACCAAGTATGACTCTTTATCAAGATTTTAATCTAACTTTCTAATGACTAGTTCAAACAGTGATTAACAAGCTAAATGCCAATGAAACATCACTAGTCATCGCAGTTTTAATAATAAGATAATTGGACAGTAGAATTTTGATCCGTAGTTAAATAGCATCCAGCATATTAACGTTTCTCACTAATTTACTTGATCTAAAATAGGATTAGCAATCTTAGGGGCTGTTTGATAGCAGGATTTAGACTGGATTTGAGGCTGATTTGTGTGAAATCCAGCCAAACAGCATAAAATGCAAAACCGAATCTCATGGCAAATAAAAGCCGTTTTAGACAGAAAATTCCTCCTTTTCATGCTAAATCCCGGATTTCTGAAATCCTGTTTTTTGTCGTTGCCGGATTTACAAAATTCGTTGGCTTGAGAGGAAAAATCCGCTCGTTAAAACCATTCTATAGGCAAACAGTCACACGGATTCAATAGAATTTAGCATGAATGTTACCAAACAGTTTTTAGGATTTAGACCCCTTAGAATTTTCGAAATCCGGATTTAGCGGATTTATGAAATCTTACTAAAATCAAATATTGGGTGCTACCAAACAGTCCCTTAGAGTTGCTGTTGAAAGTGTTATTATTTATAGAAATAATAGTACCAAAAATAGAGTTACAATGTAAGCCATTGCATGACTGCCAAAGACCAATGAGGCCGATTAGGCAATACTTGGTTGTAGACGTACAAGCTACTATTTTATACTTTACCTTTTCTTCCATATAGATATTAAGGGAACAATAACACCAATTCTTTATTCCACTGCGTGACGATACAGCTTAAGGGAAGAGAAAAAGATAAATATAATATAGTTAAAAAAATAAAACTTTTATTAAAAATTTTAAATTAGATAAATTATGAGTAAATATAATAGCCCTTTATTAAATTTATTATTATTATTATTATTATTATTATTATTATTATTATTATTATTATTATTATTATTATTATTATTATTATTATTATTATTATGGAGTTTTGATAAGTAGTTCTGCGGCAATCAAATTATTTTCTACAAAGATTGCATCAATAATTAGCATTAAATTAGTATAACTTTTACTTGATAATGGAAATAATAAAAAAATAAAAATTGAAGCATGGTCACTTAAATGGCATAATTCAAAGGTATGCCACACCCAAATTAGAGTGCAATAGAACAATGAAAAAAAATGTGTAGAAGAAAATAAGCTTATGATGAGCATAAAAAAGATAAATTTATTTATTTAAGATAAAGTTCACAAAATGCTTGTTACAAATTTTAACCGATACTAGGAGCTAAAGAATTTCTTCATGTCACATCCGCCAGGTTTCAAACCCAAGACCAATACTTTGAAAACCAAGTAGTAGGCGCCTAAGCTAAGGCTCCTTTGTATAAGCACATGTGATAAAAAATATTCTATGAAAGTTCATTAGATATGAAATTAATAATTCTTGATAAAAATTTCTTTAAAATGAAATGATGCAGAAGAATAATAAGTAAAGTTGCAGCAAAAACAGCAAGGACACTCGTTGTGGCTTTCGAGAGGTAGATCGGCCCTCCACAAACCACCAGCCCCACTAGGAACAACTCCAAAGATAAACTACATAAAACACACAAATAACATAATGAAAATCAAACAACCTAATTAACCCAATATAAGTTTTGCTTTTCCTAATACCTTTCAATTTGATGATTAAATATTATCATATTGGACTTGGAAGCATTTTTTCATGGCTATAATGTTCAGTTGTAATTCACAAATCATTGTATTGTATCTGAGTTTCTTTTTTATCAATATAGTAAAATATTATACGAAAATGATTACCATGTAAAGTAGATGGATATATGACATTTTAGTAATCACCTATCAACCTGCAAATAAATGATCCATTTTTTTATTTATGTATAGAAATTTCATCTGTATAGAAATAAGTGTCAATAAATCAAAGATAACAAACATAAAGTATACTTACAATTTCACGTGAGAAAAAAAAAAGTTGAAAAATCATTAAAAGAAAAAAACTTTAAGTTTTATATAATGTTTAGAGAAGCTTGCATCCTAATACAATAATTTTTTTATCACTGAATGATTTGAGAGGATCACTCATAAAAAACAGCACCATTTATTCATATATGAAACCAAGAAAATAAAACTGTGCACTTGCCTCCTATAATAAAAACAAACCTAGTTCCTGCAAACAAATTTGCCCTTAGAGTTAGATCTTTTCTTCATATGATTCTCCCTTACAAACAATCCCTCTCCCTTTATTTCTTCTTCAATCACTTCAAGCTAATAAATTTCATCATTTGATAAAAGAGAATTCTTCGCATCCTCTGGGCTTATAGTAGCTGTTTCATACAACATGATATTACAAAAAAGAGAGAGTTAAAGAGGTCCATAACATTAAAACATGATCTTCATTATCTACAGTCACATCATTTTTTCCACAAATCATGAATATTTAAACTAATTACTTGATTCTAATGTAGCATCACTGGCATACTTCCCTCCATGTGCAACAAATAAAACTTTTTCTTCAAAGAAAAACTTGTTCAAGACACTTTTGGTCATGAATAGTGATCATCTTGAGGCTTTATCTTTCTACAGTTATCTCCTCAAGTGCATTTATCATAATCTCATTCACCGAATACATTCAATTGTCGTTATTACATTTCATCTGTAACATCTTTTTTCCATTCACCATTGCAGTCATCTTCAAACACACCGAGAGTGTATGCTAAAAAGAACTCCATGCATCTTGATTCTCCATTTTTCAAAATTTTTTAACTGATAATTTTTTTTATCTAGAACTTCAATTCATAACCTTCGATCTCAGGATTATATTTTGATACAATTGTTACGAGCTTTATGTGTGAGAAATTTTCATCATGTGTGCCAACAATATGTCGTCCCGTGCTCTAGCCCTATGTCTCATGTTCTCTCTTGGCATTTCTTAGCCAGCTATTATCATCCAATGTGTTCAATCATCCATCCAATCTGGACTAAATGTCATGCTCACAAGTAGGGGTGTAAACGAGTCGAGTTTTGGCCCTTATCGAGCTTGACTCATTAGTTGGAAAGCGAGTTCATCTCACTATAATCAAGCTCGATCCGGCTCGCGAGCCAGCTCGTGAGCCATAGGTTGGAATTTTTAAATTTAAGCAGGATTTTTAAAAATTAGGCCGAATATTTAGAACTTCAGCGAGATTTTTAAAACTTAGTCAAAATTTAAAAAAAAAATATGAAATGTTTAACATTTAAATAAAACTTAGGTGATTTTCATTAATTTGTTTATATTTAAATTTAATAAATAAAATAAAATCATTTTAAGAAATATTAATATTTATTCGAGCCGGCTCGCGAGCTCACGAGCCGAGCCGACTCAAGCTCGAGCTCGACTCGTGAGCTTGATAAGCTCGACTTGCGAGCCCATAAACGAGTCGAGCTTGAGACGGGTCGTGAGCTTACTTGGCTCACTAAGACCCTTACTCACAAGCACACTCGTCGACCTTACCATTGTTGAAATTCTCTAAGAAAGTCCTTGGTCATTAGCACCACCCAATGTCTACTTTCTCTCTGCTTTGAATTTGCAATATGGATTCCCCTCCAAGGTTAGTTTCTTTGTTGGATTATATTAAATTTTTTTAGGCTTTCCTATTGTTCGTTCAATGTTCATTAATTTCTCCATATCCCCTTCCATCTCCTACTTCACATACTCTAGTTCTTAACCAACTTCATGGCAGCTCTTTGATCGCCCTCCTATCAATAGTCCCTGGCCTTTGAGCTTAGAAGGATAAAGTTACCTTCAAGTATTGTATCACCTCCCCTAACGTAATCCTACACATCAATATTAGGCATTTGGAAATCTCTTGATTCAACTTCTCTTATTGCTAATTAGGTGTCCCTTAAACATTCTTCAGAAAAAGGGTTTTTAGGAACTGCCCCAAACCTCCCATGAGTCAACAAGCATTGATGCTCTTTAATAGTGATATGGAAAAAATCATAGCCCCATTCAACAATCATTTATTATTAAATTCTTAGGCGATGGACCTCATTTGTAACTAATTAGATTATTTGAAGGGTCATTACTTTTGAAGTGGGTTTTTCATTTCCTTACTAAACCCCAAAATATTTTGCTGAATTTTGAAAAGATAGAAAATTATCCTATGGTGTTTTTTCTAGGGTATAAATTATTAATTAGGCGTTTTACATGATGATTGGAAAATGTCACAAGATTATGATCCTTTCTTAGAATATCAAATTGTTCTAGTCAATGTAGTTTTTTCGCATTATAGAATCCATCTATTTGATCAAAATTTTCTCTTCACATTTTGAATTTAGTACATCATATGGATCAAGATAAACAGGTTAAAAATCTAATTATAAGAGCTAAGATTAAAGCCTAAAGAAAAAGAAAAAAAAAAACAAATATAATATCTCAATAAATAGCCCATAGTTTACAAAATTTGGAATGCAATTTATATTTAATTATTTTTCCATATTTGTATTTTCCACCTAAATACTTATATGGCCACCCCTAATTTGGTTTGGAATATTGGCAAAATAATAAAACATAAGTGGTTTTAACTCCTCCCCATTAATGACAACCTACCTCATTTTTTTCTTATTCTTT